AGATATTCAGCTCCTAGTTTATCGGTGTTTATGCTATAAAAACCAACTCTAAAAAAGATGACCTTCCAGCCTTTTACCTTCTGGTTGACATACAAGGTTATGGATGAGTTATGCATTAAATGGTTTAGCTTCTAGCTTTTCAAGGGGTTTTTTACTTATGAAAGAATGCGAAGAGCACATTTCTCCTAGAACTCGCAGTCCATTTGGTACATTAAATTGCCTTTCCCCAGTTCAGGATAATTAAGCCAACTGGAATTCCACGGGGCCAGGAAGAAACTCTGCTCCTCAGACTGCTGCTTGAACCAGCTCAGCGGATAAAATAGAGCCAGTGGGAGCAAGGAATTGCTCACTCCAGGTGCTGCAACACCCAGCTCCTCAGAGGGAGCGGGGCTGCTGGCGGCTTTCAGGCGAGTGAGCAGACAGACAGACAGACAGACAGCTGTACACAGACCTGAGTTCTACAGAGCCAACAAGAGGCAGTGCTGGGGGTTGCTCTTCCTTTGGTTTTCCTGCTCTATGGAAACAGCAAAAAATCAGGTGGTGCCTAGGGAAGCGTGTTCAGAGAAAAGGCCAACGAGGTGCCTGGAGCTCATAAACTTACATTATCTTTTTATTTTCTTTTCTACCAGCAGATGATCTTGCAGTGCGTAGGGTCCTTTATACTTTGTTAATTTGAGGATAACAGGGGCAGCTATCTGTTTAAGTGTTTTGATCTTAAACACACAAAGTATTATGTGCGTAGTTGTTAAAGTTTTGTGGCATCAGGTAGAGGTGATGACTCCTCATCACCTGCTACTGTTACAGAGAAATCTCCTCTGTAAGAATTATGTATGTAATTTTCAGGAACGGAATAACAGGATAAAAGGATATTTGTTGTGTTTTTTGCATCTTATTTTTAAAGGGAGTTATGTGAAGAATCTCTGAATGTTTTGAGACTGGAAGGTTCAATGTGTATTAACACAGAAAATGTTTATTTTGGAAACGTGTCCATGTGATAACTAATGTGATCTTTGAAGATTTCTAGGTGGTTTCTTTTTTTTTGTTTTCAATTTTAGATATCAAAATTAAAACTGCACCCCATAGAAGATGAAGCACCTGAAGAACTTCCAGTCCTAAGTCAAGAAGAGCTTGAGGCTATCAAGGATCCAGATATTATCACGAATCAAATAGCTGTCCTGGAAACCCAGTGTCAAGAAATGAAACCCAACCTTGGTGCTATCGCAGAATATAAGAAGAAGGTAAGATTCATTACTGTGGTGTAGGATTCACCTTATTGATACTGCACCCAGTGTGGAAGGTGTATGTAGGAGCTTAGGTACAGATTCCATGTTTGATATCATAGACAGCAGGTGAAGACAACTTTCTCCTGTGCAAGTTTGTTTATTTACAGACAACTAGTCCTGACAGTCTAGACAGATACACAATAGTAGGATTTTTTTTCTCCTCACAATACTCACTTCAGTAATATTGGACTATGTGACAGATTAAATTTTTTTTAAATTTTATTTATTTTTTTAACATGGGTTTTCCAGTATAGAAAGATCAGCAGCGTAGAGAGATGAGAAAAAAAAAAGATGATTTGGGTTTGTTCTTTTTGTTTCAAGTCTGTTGGGAAAAATGGTAGGAAAAATGGTGTGGGTTTGTTCTTTTTGTTTCAAGTCTGTTGGCCATTCTTGGGAAAAATGGTAGGAAAAATGGTGCAAAATCTAAATTAAGGAGACAGATTGTTTAACTGTACTTTTGGGTTTTTCTGCAGGAAGAGCTATACTTGAAACGTGTGGCTGAACTGGATGACATTACCAATGAGAGGGACAACTTCAGACAAGCTTTTGAAGATCTTAGGAAACAAAGGCTAAATGAATTTATGGCAGGATTTAATGTGATAACAAATAAACTGAAGGAGAACTACCAGATGCTTACGTTGGGAGGGGATGCTGAACTAGAACTTGTGGACAGTCTGGATCCCTTCTCTGAGGGGATCATCTTTAGGTTTGTCAAAATATTTGTTATTATTGCTCTAATTCTTAATTGTTATATTCCTTTTTTTTCATTCTGCCTAGGGAATGGTGTCGGTCACATCAGTAACTGGAGATTACTCTGTCATAAAAGGTCCTAGGAACATATTCGTCACGTAAGAGTAGAATAGCATTTTGAAAGATAATTAAATAGCAGTTCTTAAGTGCTGCAGTTCCTACAGAGAAGAGCTGAGTGTTAACAGTAGTTTGAGTTCAGGCACATATCAGCTGCTGGTGGAGCTGTGTGTGCACCCGGGGGGCTCAGTTACTCCTCAGTAAACACAAATAATCCAGTTTATTCCCTCTCAGCTGTGGTGGACTAAGAGTATCAAGTGGCTCATCCATGGCTTTAGTTGAGCTGCTTTGTGTCTTCCAAGAATTCCTTCCTGCCTTGTGACTTGCTTTTCACCGCGACATATTTATTTCCATCAGGAACAGAAATGAGTTACAAACTAATTTCTTTCAGTGTTCGACCTCCAAAGAAAAGCTGGAAGAAGATATTTAACTTATCGGGAGGAGAGAAGACTCTTAGTTCACTGGCTCTAGTTTTTGCTCTTCATCATTACAAGCCAACGCCACTTTATTTTATGGATGAGATTGATGCAGCACTTGACTTCAAAAATGTATCTATTGTAGCATTTTACATATATGTAAGTATTTAAAGGTAACTACTATAATATAATTTTTCTAAGATACTTTCTTCTTTGCCAGAAAAGACAAAGTGGTAACATGATTATGGCCAGATATAAAAATCTGGAATGATAGAGTATTTTTAAATAATTAAGTCACTGTACTGAGCAGATTTCCAGAAAGATGCTTAGAATGTTGCTTTCTGCATATTTTTTCTCTAAGCTGTTAAGTTTTGTGCTTTCCTGAAATAAGGCAACTAATAGAGGATTTACAAGTTTTTCCCCCTCCAAATCCTGTTTCTAAAGTTGTTGAAAGAATGTTAGAATTTGCCAGAAGTGCCACATTTCTACGTGTCCTTGCTGCTTCTGCTTCCTCTTTACAATATAGATACTTTCCCCAAAATAATAACTATCATCAGCTGAGAATACAGTAACTCCTTTAGCTCTTAGCAATGTGCTGATGTATCCAAGCTCACGGTTTCATTCTCAGGAGCAGCCAAGGTCCCTTAGTTTTATACTTCCATTTTGTTAACGTGAGCTGTTCCCCATAGGCTTCTTTGATCTGTGTCTTTATTAGTGGGTTTTTTCTTTCATGCCTTTAAAGATGCTGTTGTTGCCATATTTCATTCAAGCAAACATTTACATTGCTACAGTTCTGGTTGCTAATTTAAAGCTGGAATTTTGAGAATTATCTAAAGTATAACCACTGGTCTTGGGAACACCCTAGAAGTGCCAAAGATTCTGATTAACTACTTTAAATGAGGGATATATTTAGAAGGCACCTGCCTGCAACTGTAGTTTTAAACTTTGCTTCCACGATGCCTGTATTTCCACAAATGTGGGTCTGTCACCCAGGTGAGAGTTGGTAGAGCAAAGAGTTTCATTTCAACTGCAGACTAATGCTTACATTTGAAACTTAGTACAGTTTGGCTCTTCAGTGCAAATTATAGCTTAGTATATAGCTGTAGCTCGTATGGTGTATACAACTTCTGAATTAGTACTATCCAGGGAGAAAAGGATCCAGAAAAATTAGTACTATCCTAGGAGAAGAGGTCCTGGCTCTCCACAGCAAGAATGGAGCTGGACTGTGCATTGACTTTGCTCCTCTGGTGAACTTACACTGATGCTGCTGGGTTCTTAAGGATAAGGTTTGTTTTTAAAGCACCACTAAATTTAGATATTTTCTTCATCAAATCATGGAATAGTTTGAGTGGGAAGGGACCTTTAAAACACATCTTTGACTAGACCAGGTTGCTCACAGCCCCATCCAACCTGACCTTGAATGTTTCCAGGGGTGGGGATCCACCACCTCACTGGGCAACCTGGGCCAGTGTTTCACCACTGTCGTGTTTAATTGAATTCACTTAAGTAAAAGATAAAAAGAGGAAACTCATGCAGAAGTATAGAGCAGTGCTTTGTGCTGATGGTGTGTTGTGAACTCACCTGTTGTGGAGAGCAGGAGCTCTAAGGCCTCAGCACCTGCAGATTTGTTGAAGGACAAAACTGTTTCTAGTTATGTGTTCCTTAGTTCCTAAAACCTCACATAGAGATCATAGAAGAACAGTTTTTTGAAATACCATGGGCTAACACAAATCACTTCTGTTCCAGGAGCAAACAAAAAATGCACAATTTATCATCATCTCCCTGCGAAACAACATGTTTGAGATCGCAGACAGGCTCATTGGAATTTATAAGACTCACAACACCACAAAAAGCGTGGCAACAAACCCCAAAGTTATTGCATCCAAAGGACTGGCTGAACTCAGCACTCTTGGGTGTGCTATAGCTCAAAAATAGAGCGGAAGAAACTTCCATCCTCGTTGCTGCTGTTTACTTTTGTCTAATATACTTTTTTATGTGAGATTTTTTTTTCTTGGAATATTTTATTTGAGCTTGTTAATAAAACAATACATTCTGTTTTTTTAATTATATATTCTACATAGCTTTTAATTATATGAACCAAGTTTTTTAGAAAAAGCTATTTCTCCAATGATGTACCTAGCTCCATTTTGATATTCCATGGGTAAGTTTGATGTCACTGTTTGTGTTCTGTATTTGGTTTTAAAAGCCTGGTTTTTACTGTCTGTATTAAAGTAAGCAAATTGCTTTTAAATGTTACCAGAGTGTACTGTAGTATTTTATTATACGAGTTCTAGTAAGTAAAGTCAGTATACTTAATAATTTACATGTATATAATGGGGATGTTGTCTGTACTGCTGCACGGTCTGGGAAACAGCCGTTTGTAGCCATTTTGTAATGAATTGGTTCTGTTTCAAAAGCTGCTCTTTAGTTATTTTCCTCTCCCCTCCCGCAGGGACAACTCCTCCCTCCCTCCCTCCCTCCCTCCCAGGCCGTGGCCGTTTTTGTGCACTCTGGGTTTTTAAGGCAGTCGTTACCATCTGCTGGCTTCTGCCCTCCTGACAGACAGGGTTAGGTACCACTACCCTCTTACAGACAGGTCTCTGCTTTGAATCTGAGGGGTTTTTTGTATCTTAAGAACTGAAACTGTGTGTTTTATTCCAAAAATCAGGGCAGTACCTGGCACACTTGCACTGGTGCTGCTGCTCAGGAAGAAGGCTGGGGGTAGAAGAGCTGGGAGCAGCCCTGGGCTGCAGCTCCTTCTGCTTCTGGGCCTTGTTCCCATTGCCATTGGCTGTTTCCAGACAGAAATACACAGAACCTGAGTTAGTTTATCCTGCTTTTGTTGCCATAGTCCCAGCACAGCTAAACCCCGTGTGATGGACCCAGACCCTCACCCTCCCCTGAAATCATCAGCGTGGAGCTGGTCTGGAAAACTGAAGGGGATGGGGGAGACTGTGATAATTTGCTATAAGGTGTGTAATGCAGAAAGGGAAGCTGCAGAGGGCAGGTGATGGGAAGCACAAAAAATTCTGAGCTCACGCTAAGACGGGGTCTGTGAATTTTTGCTGAAGTGCAAGAGGAGGTGCAGGGCAGGGTAACCCCTCGGTGAATGAGCTGGGGAAGGTGAGGGGGGAACAATGCATTATTTTCACCTGCAAGAGACATTCCTGAAGAGGCATACTCTGGTTTGTGCTCTCAGAGGCCACCTTGGTACCTCAGCACTTGCTCTGTTCCCTGCAGGCTGCTTGGACACCTGGAAACTGCAGTCTCTTCCCCCACTGGGTCTCAACACAATTTTTTTCAACAAGGCTTGTCCTCTAAAAAAAAAAAAAAGCATGCAGCAAGGGTTAAATTTCTAGAATGAGGTCTCAAAAGATGGGAAAAAAAAAAAACACCCTAGGTTTGTACAAACCCCTTTCACACCTCAATAAAAAGGCAGTAAAAAGTATTTTCTTGAAAAATTTTCCATAAGTTAATGAACCTTGGCAGACAGGACTTGTGTCCAGCGCAGAGGAGAGCAAAGAGTGGGGCTGAAGCAGCTCCTCTCAGCTGTATGACCCCAGGGAGCTGGGAGGAGGAAAGCGAGACCCTCCGTACACACATCCCAGGAGGTGCCTACGCTGCACTCCTCCAGTTCCTGCACCAGCTCAGACACTGGTACCAACTGTCTGACACAAAAATTGGTAAAACAGGCCTGTCATGGGCAATGTGAAAGGCCATGAAGTCTACACTGACCCACCTGGGGACATCCATTAGAGAGAATCTTCCCAAAGTTCACGCTGCAAAAAAAAAATGGGGCACTTGGTAGAAAATGAAGCAGGAAGAGAGAGCCAACTGTCTGACACAAAAATTGGTAAAACAGGCCTGTCATGGGCAATGTGAAAGGCCATGAAGTCTACACTGACCCACCTGGGGACATCCATTAGAGAGAATCTTCCCAAAGTTCACGCTGCAAAAAAAAAATGGGGCACTTGGTAGAAAATGAAGCAGTAAAAGAGAGAGCACCGCTGGACAGGCACAGGCCTGCTCGTCTCCTCTCAGCCCTCACAGTGCTGTAAGGAAATCAAGGCATTAGCCAATCCTACTGTAAGAATATATTTTATTTGTATGCAAATTTATTAAAACAGTGCATTATAAGTACAAGTACTAAATGTTTCAGTCAGTGGTAAAGGCATTTTATAAATTCCTATAGTCTTGAAAAATAAAGTTGCATTACAAACTCTCTAAGTTTTTAAAAGTAGGTAAAATAAAAGGTCAAGAAAGCAGCCTCACGTAGGAGCGGACAGACACGTAGCATCAGGTTTTGAGAGACTGATGTGCCAAGTGACAGCCTTCTACCAGGGCTTAAGACACAAACAAATTCCTCATTTTATTGAGAAATCCATATGACGGCATTTGTCAATCCCAGGATACACCCAAACTCCATTTCAAACCCTGACCAGTGGGCTTCATGGGATTTGCCTTTGTAACTCCAGAACGTTGCAGAAAACATATGTACAAATTCTAGAAACTGATGCTCACAGAGAGGCAAAGGCCCAGCCAGCTCCTGCCTCAGCCAACCCCAGAGGGGCAAATCCACCCAGCTGCACATCAGCTGCGTGGCTGGACTCGGGGTTTTATCAGTACAGCGATATCAGGGTGGCAATATTGTTATTGGGATCTTTATTTGGGCTTCAGGAATGTTTCGGCATCACACCTGAGGCCTGACCTTGCCCACAGCTCCCGCTACAGTCTGGCAGCAACCGGTATTTTGCAGGAGCCCACTAGTGCCTGCTGGTAGCCAGGGGCAAGTTTTGGTGTGCACAAAGCTTTTAAAATACCTAGTAGTTAAAGGTTAGCCTCAGAAATCAATCACTATTTAAACAACTTCTAGTATTTAAAAATATACAACAGCCAAGGAATGCTGCTATGCAGGAATACACTACTATTTTTATCAAGTCAAATACAGTTAGACATGGCCAATGCTCATTTTTGGGTTTTTAGTGAGTTGTAAGCTCACCTGTGCTCTGCTGTTGGAACTGCAGCTCTCCAAGGCTGTCCTGGTACTTGCTGTAATCAGCCTGCTCCTAACTGAAGGCCAACAGGGGCTCTCTCTGGGGATTCCACTCCCGAGCACAGTTTAGACTGGAGCATCTCCTCAGAAGTAGCAAACAGAGTCAGCGACCATCTGAGTGCAGAATAAAACACTATTGCATTTCTCCTACGTCAAGGTAAAGATCTCTGTTATTTGTGCTGAAAAGCTGAATATAAGTTTATATTCATTGTCAAGTCGTTTTTAAGAGCTCTTGAGGACATGTGAAATCCTTGTACCACTGACTGCAGTGGGAGGTTTGCTGCTTACTACAGCGTATATCTATTTTCACTACATATTAAATGATTTAACAAAAAATCAGGGCCTGTGTTAGTAAGGAGACTAAACACACACCTGATACGTGTTTTTAGCTGGCAGTAAACACCTGTGTGCAGCGTTTCACCAGAACTCCCACAGATACTACTCTGTAAAGTGGAGAGAACCATTTGAAAGACACAAAGTTACTAAATGCAGGTTAAAAAACAAACAAACAGATGAAATCATGTCACCCACTAGTAACCAGGAACAAACCAAATGAAACCAAATGAATATACACTTTAAAGCCCAGAGGTGCATCAGTTAAAATACATTCAGAGAGAGGTCAGTAAAACACAAAATAGGAGTTTTATGCACACCAGAGCTAGTGCCTGACCCATCCAGGACTAGCCTGTTTGCAGCCTGAGGTGGTTTTTTAACCTTTAATTTGGTAGTGCTTTTATTAAAAAGAAAAAATTAAAAAAAATAAAATTATGTTACCAAGGGACCTTTAATTTGGTAGTGCTTTTATTAAAAATAAAAAAATTAAAATTATGTTACCAGGGAAAAAAAACCCAAGATAGTAGACATTTAAGGAGTTTTTACAAACAGGACTCCAGCTTACAATTTGTAAGCCGCTTATAGCTTTCTCCAGCAGATGCTGCTTCCAGCCATCTCCCAGTTTAAACAATTCCCTACCAATTGACCATACTGTGTGAGCAGAAGAGGAAGCCTGTTTCATTGCCATTCCTCTCAGTTAACCAAGAGCTAAGAGGAAATCTAGACAGTACAGAAAAAGAAAGAATATGGAAACAGAAAGGAAAAGTGTAGAGCTTTAACAATCCAGCTTTTAAGTAGCAATTAAAAACCATCCTGGGGGTTCCAACACCAGCTATCAATTTAGTCACCAAAATAGTCAAAAAGAAACAAGCCTCCCTAAAAATTCCACCAGTAAATTAAATGCATGGCACAGCACATCCATCATATTCTGCAAATGGGTGCAGAAATCTTGATAAGTAAGCAGCAAGAATGAGGAGATAGAAGCGGCAGTAGCTTCAATCACAGCCGATGATACCAGTTTTTCAAGTGAACACGCAGTTACCAGTATGATAAAAAGAAGCAGGACTGCTAAAGGATTTACAGCCTGGAGGAGCACTTTAGATTCTCTTCCTTCCTTTCCACTGCTTTTGCTGCGTAACTTCCTTTTTGGAATCAGTTTTATTTTTGGAGTGAGGATCTTGTTGATGTGACCGATTTCAGTTTTAGACCACACGTCTTTCAACAGGTGCCCAACCCTCGGATAAACCTCCACAGGTTTAACATCCGGCAGCTGTTTCTGTTTCAAAGCTTTTATACGTTGATGCATATCATCCACCTTCTCAAGAAAAATAAGCGGGGACTCTTCTTTTTGAATAGATGTATTCAGTGACATTAATTCAAGCTGCTCTTCTCTTATTTTTTTCAACTTCTCAATGAGAGGCTCATATTCTTCCAAAATGTGCGCGTTGACGTCATCCAGCGCCGTCAGCAGAGCTTGTTTTTTGTGCTCCAAGGTATCGGTAAGTTTCTTAAAATAATGGACTACTGCTTTCTTATCCTCCTGAACAACGCTTTCACAGAGGGACTTCTGTTCTTTCAGCTTTTCAATGAGCAAACATACATCGGTCCAGTGTTTATCAGTCAGCTGCTCCAGAAGTTTTCCAGAAGACTCCTTTTCTTTTAGGTAGGCACTTTGAAGGTCATCTATGGGGTGGCCGTTGTGTTTGCCTATCGTAAGGCAATGGCCACATACCAGTTTTCTATCCAAAAGACAGTAGACGTTCAGGGGTTGCCTGTAATGCTCACTGCAGGTTGCAACATCAGAGTGATCCTCCTGTTGGTATTTTTCAATAATAGCTTTTAACGCAAAATTGATGGGCAAGGATTCAATCCCAGAGGCAGGAATTTCAACGATACTCCTACAGTTCGGACACTTCAGAGGAAGTCTCAGGGGTCTCCAGATGGAAAAGTTTTCCGAGAGCTGAATAACACCCTCCAGACAATTCCGACAGAACGTATGGGAACAGGGCAGAACACGTGGATCTTCAAATATGCTATAGCAGATGGAACAGGTTAATTCTTCCTCAAAGTGATGCATGTCCTACAAAAAAGAAAAAAAAAAAGGTTTAATGTCATTTTACAATCAACTCATTTAAAAGTCATTTTAGTAACCTACACAGGACACTTAGTGACCAGTAACCTCACCTTCACTGGCAGCTTATTGCTAAGGGAAAAAAAAAAAAAAAAAAAAAAGGCAAAAGAAGAATGAAAGAAAGCAATGGTTGAAGGATTTCAGCAAATTGTGATTTGCACTTATAGGCTAAGTGACTAGATAGTGTTCACCCATATCTAATTTTAACCATAAAAACCAGCAACCTGCTACTAGATAATTCTTAAAGTGGGAAACAGAAGAGTGTGATAAAAGTTAGAACTAGAGTTTCTAAATAACCTAAAAATGATGAAGCTTTTTCTCCCACATGAGTAACATTTTCAACATAAGAATAGAACAGTAAGTACAGAAACTTTTTTTTCTCCCCTAACTTTCTTCGACTATTAAGCAGTCAAATTTACTGAAAGTTTTCTCTAGGTTCTGGCACAAACAAAAGCCTAACTCAGTAGCCCTTAAATACAATACCACTAACAGTAATTAAGACTCGTGGTGTTCTTCCTGGGTTACTTGAAGCATAAAACTAAAAATCTAACTTTCGTTTTCCATCCTTTGTAATATTGTCTCGTTTTTCTTTGCCAGCTTAGTGAAATCACACTGTAAAGTCACAAATAACAATAACTCTAACATCAGTTTTCATAAAAGAAACCATAATTCTGTTTTTCATTCTGTTAAAAAAAAAAAAGTGGAAATGAGTATGAACTTCCCTTATCTTTCTGTCACATTCTCCTGTCCCCTTCATCAGTTCTAGTCAACTCTGTAGACTTTGCTACACTGAAAAAAGAAATTGTCCAAACATTTAGTATCAAAGACTCTCAATTTAGGGTCTAACTCTAAATCTGAAAACAATAACGTGCAGCTGGGCTAACGCAGCTGCACGAGGTACTACTGAACCTTTGTTTGATCCAGTCAGGAAGATAATTAGCTATGAGATGTCTTTAAGGAGATTATTTTATTCAGATGTGCCCTCCTAAGCTTTTTAATGCATTAACCTATTCTTGCATCAATCTATCAGCATTCCTTATTGACACCGAGATTAATAAAGTTTGATCTATTTTAAGTGAATCTACTTAAAAGGAAGTGAATTGTTAAATATACTCTCCTTTGAAAATAAAACCTTAAATTGCATTTGAAATCATGAAAGCCACTAAGGATTAAATTTGGAACTAACTAACAAACAATTTACAATAAATAAATGAAGGAGCATTATTCCTGCAAAAGGCACAGAGGGAACCTGATGGAAGTCAGAAGGTAAATACTCAGATCCTGGTTCTTTGAGAGTTAAATTAGCTCTGAGCACAGAAAGCTATTCTGCTTGTATAGAAATACGTGTGACTTATCTCACTGTATGAGATAGGCTGGTACGCCCAAAAGTGAAAGTGTTCAACAAAGGCTGATCAGATTTCTTTTGCCCTGTAAAACCAGACTGAATAATAACTAAAAAAATAAAAATAAAAATCTAATGGTCACCATCACCCAAAAAATCAAGTTCAATTCAAGGAGGTACTTGTATGTTGTTTTTTGAGCAAGTAAACTTTATATCGAAAACAATTTTGATTAATTCAGCTTTAAAAAAAAAATTATCCAACACTCATCAGGTAATTTTTTCAGCTAATTAATATAAAATGTTGGTTCATGTATTTGAACCCCTTTTTCAAGAGACCTTGACAACAGTTGGAAGAAAATCTAAAATCTACTAGAGACACATTTCTAATGAACTACCCTTAAAAAGAAGAATGATGTAGTATTTATAACTAACTATTGTTTTCTCCTAGTTAAAGAGAATTAATATCAAGTACTACAGCCATTTAGCAAAAGACATTCACACCACTTTGACACTAAATCTATTTCTGTACTGCACTGCTCTTACCAAAGACCATGAGATATTTCTCTTTTTACTGGGGAGCCACAGACCTTCACATTCCAGCTTTTCCAATCAGCCACTGTGGCAACATTAGGGTCTTTAGTTCTAGTGTCTGGAACACCACTTAAAAATGTGAAATTATTCACATAGAGAGGGGTAAAGAAATGTTTCAATAATGAAGGGAAGCTGAATTACAAATCTACTTCACTGTCCAGATAAATTCTTTTTTAAGAATTAATTCCCATGGAAAATACATTTAAAGGTTTTATTTTTTATGCAGATATATACTTATATATAAAGTTATTATGAATCTTAGGAATGGCACTTCCACATAAACAAAAGGAAAAAAAAATCAGTTAAGTTTTTGCTGACAGTTAGAAAAGAAAGGATCCTTAGTAAGTACTCTCATTCATTATTTTCTCTTATATACACGGAATGAATATAGTTAAAAAAAAATAAATCTATGTTTAAAATCACTATTTTTTCCCAAATCTAGGGCTGTAGTTCTCTTCAAAGGAACTATTACAGGAGGAAAATCTTTTTTATAAAGAACACACGTCTAGCTTATTTGAGAAAAGGCAAGACAAAATTAATCTTCAAGAAATTGTTTTAACTGCAAAGTAGTTGCTTGCTATCATAAAAATGAAGGATCAACTTTACAAATGTTTTTCTTAGCTCTGTGATGAATCCCCTCAAACTCTGCAGGGGTAACCCCCGCACCCCGGCAGCGTGTCCCCCGGGGAAAGCCAGGCGCTGTGCCACAAGCCTGCGCAGGTTGGAGCAGCCACAAGCCCCACGGCCTGCACTCGCTCCAGGGCTGTTTCATAACCCTGCAGCCGCTAGCCAGAGGGCCTGAAATCCCCATTTCCACAGAAACGTACCGCCCTGTTTCCCAGGCAACTGAGAAATTTAAAGAGTGACAGTGGTTGCCTGCTAGCGAGCAGCTCTGGAAAGCCAGGCCGGCAGTGCAAAGGCAGGAGTCTCTGCTTTCAGCTCTGTCCAAGGGTGCGTGGGGCTGCGTGGGGCACCCCGCTCCAGCCGCCTTCCAGGCACCCCCAGCAGAAACAACATTCGGGTTTTTAGTTATTACCGTCAATTTCCAAACAGCATTTGGAATGCTAATGTTGATATTTGCTATAGGCACCCTGTGGGATTTTCTAAATCTGTTGTAGACAACTGCTCCAGAGTTGTACCAGGGAAGCAAAAGGTAAAAATCCTGAAATTCAGTTTCATCCTGCGCTGGCAGCAGCACGGAGGAAATAGTCTACACTCAAACAACAGTGAAAAATCCGTAGGTGGATGTCAGAAACAGAGAGAACGGGAACACCAACAGAGAGAGACTGAGATGACCCATCATAGAGTTAAACAAAAAAGAAAGAAAAAAAGTTTTCCAGGGGAAAAAAAAAAAAACGTAGCAGGAAGCTGGCAAATGTTTTCCTGCACAGAGCAGATACTTTTCCTTAAATGTTCCAAACAACTGTGGTAGCAAATACACACGTGTGTATATACATATTCATTTTAAGAGTCACTCTGTATAAGCAAATTACAAACTGGAAGGTATTTTTAAAATGCAAAAGTGTAATTGTGCCAGTAACACGGTGAGTTTCAGAAATCTTCCAGCAGTAGAAGGCCTGCTAAATGGCTGTGATTTTATCCTCTTCTAATTAGTGATAGTGTAGGCAAGATGAAAACACACAATACAACATACCTATTTCTGCCAAAGCTTTCAGTTAAGCAGATCAAAGTAGTGGAGTGTATTCCTTGATAACACTGCGTTCATCACCTAGCCATCAGAATCACTGCTCATCCAGATAATTATGTGAGATGCTGTTTAGAAACAATTATATCTGGAATACAGCATATGTCAGTCTTTAGGTAGATAACTAACTAACTGCTGTATAGCAAAAGCCAGCTGTAAGGAGCCAATACATCCTTTTCTGCTCTGGAGGATTTTAAAAGGCAAGTTTGGCCTTAAATAACAGTTGTGACAAGAGTTACAAGGGGCACTTAAGGCAGATCCTCCCCTGGAGTCAGTGCTGCCAGGCTCCCCACTCCTCCTTCACACCACTGCCAGGGAAGAAAATGACATCTGCTCTCTCCTGAAGGACACTGGAACACTCAACCTTAAAACCGTACTGCACTTAAACTAATTCCACATCAAAAATGCTGATTCCCCGTTCCACAGTGGTCCATGAAGTCCTTCTGTAGCACCAGCATAAAAGCTCAAGGTTATGGTGTGAAAAATAAAAGATGAAATGATGTTACGGGTAGTGTTTTCCACTCATAAGTCACCTTCACGGTAAAGGATGATGGAACTTTTTAAAAAAAACAGAAGGCCGAGGTGCAGCTCCGGTATTTGTCATTGCATCACAAGGAATGGAACTTGCTACACAACTGCCAGGTTTCATGGTTGTTAACAACAGGCCAGGCTCCAGAAATCATAAACAACAGCCTACCTTAAACCCTTCTATTCCAGCCTATTTCAGCTATACAGCTTTGCTCCATACCACAAATATCTCACACCCGAGACAAAGCAGTTTTCACCCAGGGATGTTCTGCCCCTAGTTCTACCACCACTATCCCAGATTTTTTACACTTTTTTTTTTTTTTAATGACCTGAAAGGAGATGAAGACAGCAGAGGTCTGCCTAGTCTCCCTGTCAAGCTGACCTGACAGTTCCCTTCTGTATACCCCTCCACCGGCTCCTTGTCTGCCTCTAGAACAAGCTCACACAAGTTATCACGTTCATAAAACCCCAAATATACCAACTCTCTCCTTTCCATATTCGTCTTCTGTTGTCAGGAGTCACTCTCCAACCCTCATCCCTTGAACTCTGTCAAAGCTTCTGGTGTTGAGCACTCATTTGCCTGTCGTTGTCGGGCAGGGGAGCCAGAAGGAAGAGGCCACCTTTACCTGAACCCTGCAGCCTCTATTCATAACTAGGAAAAGGGATCCACACGAACACCAGAAACTTGCTAAGGTTATAAAGACAGAAATACGCTTAAATACGACGAAAGGAGGGGTGGGGTGTGTGACACCGGAGCACTGCCCGAGGACGGTGATGGCTCCCGGCGGCGGCGAGTCCCCCAGCCCGGCCCGGCCGCGCAGGCTGACTGGCAGGAGGCGGGGAGAGCGGTCACTCCGAGCACCGCTCGGCTTCCCGGGGCGGTTTCACCTCACAAGGCCGGCCGCGCCAGCTCGGATGCCGGGTCAACCCCCCTCACAAAACACCACCCGGTCTCCCGCAGCCGCGCTTCCCCGCGAGACACCCGCACCCACGACCCACCTGGGCGCTCCCCCGCAGCCGCTCCCCGGCCCTCCGACCGGGGAGCCGGGCCCAGACACCCGCCGCCGCCGCCTCCTCCTCCGCCGCCTTCAAACGGCCGGGCCCGCGCCCCGCCGCTCCCCTCAGCGCCGCCGCGCGTGCGCGGGAAGGCCTTGGGATGGGGGGGGGGCGGGGGCTGAGGCACCAACGGCCGCGCCGTTCGAAAGTCAACGGCCCGCGGGGCGGGGCAGCGCCTTCAAACCGGGCGGGCGACCGTTAACGGCCGCCCCCGGCCCCCCCGGCCATAGCTCCTCAGGCAGCGGGGTCAGCCGCGGTCCCCCCGAACCCATCCTTCTCCACGGCTTTGGGAGAAATTCACCCCAGAGCTGGAAAGCGGGAGGCGTAAAAGCGCCTGAGGGGCGGGGGGGGGAGACGAACCAGGGCCTCCACCAACCACTGACGCCAGAAATAACCCTAAATAAATGTAAAGTGGTAAATATCCGTTTCCATTTCATTAATGTCTCCTTACTTAGGCTACCGGAGACACTTAACGTGTTTTAAGTGAAGCAAAATTGCTCCTGCCATACATTAAAATAATAGATATAATTGGCTGTGTTCTTCATTATCTAGTGCCAAATTTACCTTTTACAATCCTCCAGAGCAGAAAGGGGTGTTTCAGCTCTATTTGCCAAGGAAAAAGCGAGACTGCAGAACAAAGGGAATAGATCAATAAACAGTGTTTTACTGACATCTGTGACAGGAGTAAATCTCAAGATTTTATCAAGGTAAAGTACCCGATGTTGTGCAGACTTTTCTCATACTTCGGATTATTCTATACCCTAGACTATTCTGTATTTATTTACAGTGCATAGAACTACACTAAGACTAAAGTTAGTTATTCTCAGATGTGGCTTTTGCAGTGACTTTGAAAGAGAAATTAAATTCATTTAGTGTTGTAATGTAAATCGTAGTACATCATCATTCAAAAGTTACCTAAACATCTGTCTTAAAACTGGTATTTAGAGGACCTTAACACAAATATCTGGGAAACATCTGGAATTACGTTTCAAATAATAAAAACCTTATGTTCTAACAAATTAACCATCACAGTTTAGCTGATAAGCACAGAGTTTAAAATACTACATCGAGCTGTAATTGGTCTTTTTCCTGTGAAGCTGTCACAATACTTTTGATGTCAGTTACATCCCTCTCATCTTCAATATTTAAAAATTTTAATTGAATTTTTTTTATATGCTATTAAATTGAAGTTTTTCCAACCTTAACAAGTTTCCACGGAGCTTTCTGTTCACCATCGTGCCAGTACAGCTGCTGCAACCTAAGGGCAACTTGTGCAAAACGAACAAGCGCAGCTTAAACTTTGTTTTATAGAATTTGGGGTTAACTGGGGAAATTCCCCCTTTAATTTCTACCACCTTACAGCTTCATCCTTTCAAGCCAGTAGACTCTCTTAGGTCAGCAGGTTTTAAAAGTTGCTTGCTCTGTCAAAACTATTCTTTGAATCATGACCTTACCTTTAATTACAGGTGGACAGATCCTTGCCAATTGTGCTCACCCTGCCTGCTGGTGGTACCAGAGTCCTGTGCACCCGTGTTTCTGCAGATCCTGTTTGGTTTGTGAATTACCTTCCTTATTCCCCGCCTGCACTCCTAGCCCAGCGAGCCATTGCACAACTTGGGCCTGTCTACATCTATCTCAAAGGTGGCCTCATTCATCTCCCTTGTGCTCATGCAGCCACACAGGCTCGTCAAAGAACTAGCTGAAAACTAACCCAGAAAATAACTTGTTTTTCAGAGAACGGATCCACTGGCTGGAGGATTATGCCACATAATGGGTCATTACACCACAAGGGTCATTACTAAACCACCTGCTGTGGGTACACCAAGAGGATGAGAGCATATTTCAGAAAAGTCAGAGATGAACAGAATGTGGGCATTGACTAACAGATCAGTAATCCACTTTCAATTACAAAGATGTCATCTTAAGCATTTTATTTACTATCTGAACAAGAAAAAGTAATACTATGCCAGATATACAAATCTTCACACCTGGTTTATTCTGCCCTTGTGCCCAATTTGCTGAAGAGGCTGCAACCACGTGGATGTTCTGTTGTTAGCATTACGTTAACTGCACCACAGTGGCAAATCTCTGCAAATGAAATTTTGGGAATAAGTTATCTTCTAATGGAATTCTGCATCTGGCAGAAATTACAATGGACAAGACAAGGGGCCAGTGTTCAATCTGCACAGCTGACAGGCCACAATGTTCCAATGTCAGAGCCATTCTGAAAACTGCTGAGGAGACAGCCCCCTTCTAACTGCCTTCATAGGGCCTGGTGCAGTAATAACCTGCTAAAAGGTGTTTCTGCAACTTAAGTCAGGTAAAATATGAAAATCATAACAAGAACTAAGTTTTGAAGATGCAAAATAGGTATCCCACAAGTCTACTAACATAAAATAGGCATAGCAACATAGATATTATTTGTGTTTCAGTACAAATCAAGTAATCTGGAACATGCTGCAGAAGTTCACTCCATTTAAAAAAATAAATAAATCTGCATTTCTATATTTATACAATTCTGGAAAGCTTAAAAAGCTATTGTGGCAAAACACACAGAATCACAGCAGCTAAAAAATTAGACTGCTAGATAGCCAAGATAAATGTATAAGCAGGTCATGGTTTGTAACTGAGCATATTATCAGAACGATGCAGTTAGAGAAAATACAACGTTTTAGGTGAGGAAGGCCTTCCCCAGGCCCACAATGGAACCAACCTGCAAACTAAGACTTTGGTTCCACCACAAAAGTCTAATCACTAGTTGCGCACTTCTGGTTCATTATAAATACTCGCCAAAAGAAGTAGAAAAGGTAAGTATGAACTGTTTAGTGAGTGAAGGGGTCCGAATCTGTAAGAGACTCCAAACATCTTAAATAAGAAAGAGGTAAACTGGGTATGTAGTTACAGAAAAAAAAAATTGAAAGCTTGTAAGAAGGGAAGTAACATGACAGACTAAGATTTTATAGTGACAATATTACTTGGGTAAGGGTTTTACCCATGATAGCCATGCACAGAACTTCAGCAGTTGGAGGGACAACCACTTGAGAAAAAACTCTGAGGCTGACACAGCACTCAGATTTTTGCCCTGGTTCCAATGCTGAACCAATTACTATGGTTACCAGATCCTCTCCTTATTTTCACATATTTGAGATAAGGGCCCATTTCGGAGCCGGAGCCCGTAGCTGTCCATGGTATCAGCCTCTCCCCCCTCCCCTGCCCCACGCTGGCGAAGCTCTAACTCCTTTTCATGTTTCTCCAGCTCATCAACACTCTCATTTTTGTGGTGGAAGATGTGAAAGTATTCATACTTTACTCCAGGATCTATATCAAGTAGACGGCAGCAATCAAGATCTCGTAGTAAACCACAGTGCCTGGAAAAGTCCCAATGTCACAGACACTCATCCTGGGAGTAGTTTTGTTTCTGGGGCACGTGCACTACATAATACAGAATAAAAATTCTATAATCCTTTCCCCTCTACTACCCCTCTCAACACACCAGGAAAGTCTTAAGTAAAAACCTAGAGAAGCTGAAGACCAAACAAGGGCAGTTTTGACAATTTATAATATAAATAACTGATGTTCAGAGTAAGAATGTACATTTTATACCCAGTGTATTTTTATGTATTTAAAAGAAGGATACAAGATGAAGCAACATTTAATCTGAGGAACTGCCATTCTAGGAATGACATATTTGCTTTGTACCATGATCTGATGTTGCTGATACAGTCTGACTGCTGACCATCTGCCTTCCCATCCAATTACACAACTTCCATAGCACATTTACCTATAGCTGCCATTTAAAAGTTTCCCACGTTAGTTTTTTTCCAGTAATAGCAGCTTTCAGTATTATTTCATAGAAACTTAAAAGTACATCAAAGGTATTTACATATGACAGTTTTAATGACAGCTTGAAGAAAACTTTTCCTCAGTTTTGGAGCACTCCAGCAGAGTAAAAACAGGACCCCCATCTCAAGGGATTTACAAGCAAAAAGTGGGAATTTCTTTCTGGAAATTAAGTTTCCAGACACTTTTCTGTAGGTATTGAAATAGTATTAACTCTTTCAATTAATTTTGTGTGCCTTCTGAGTTTTACTCTAGCAGTAGCTAAAACTTACTATTGGGAAGAGTTTGTAAACTTTACACATTTTCTGCTACTAAGTTTCCTTTCATAAAGTCTATTTGATCCAGATGCAGGACTTCTGTAATTGTTTCCAGCCTTGTGACCAGCACTCCTGCCAGTAATTTGGTGACATGCAGAGCTGAGGAAACATTTACAGTTAAAAGTGGCAAAGAATCTACAAGTATTAACATGAAGACATTCTTAATTATAAAGCAGCAATTTATGCAACATACTGTATGACAGGAGGAGTTGTTTACAAATACATATAGATTCCTTCACTTTTAAGCAGTCACCCTCCTTTCTTCCTGGCACATCCACGGTTTTCCTTAGGCTTCTGACATTTTCTAAAAGCAGAGTCCTGGTTACTCAGAAATCAAGTTCTCTTGCTCAGGGCTGGCTAAATTGCCTTAGGCAGCATTTCATTTTACTTGAAACCCTTTGAAGTTGGTTGATACCTTAACACACTATCCAGAAATTATTTTTTAAATAGTCAGACTACCCTGTTCTGCTATCAAAAGAGCAGAAGTAGACAACTTACTGGGAATGCTTGTGATCCACCTGAAGACACCATTCTGTGAAGAAACATAGAAGGGATATCCTTGTTCAAGTCTCCACGCATCCAGCAAATGGCTCTCCCAGGCTGAAAGGCCCCACGCAACCAGGGGCTATTCCACTTCCAGTGGTGGGAGAGAAAGAAAGAGGGTCAACTTCTCTCAAGCTATCCCTTTTGATTCAGCATGCTATTCTTCCCTCTGTAGAGCTGCTACTCCTAGCTAAACCAGGCAGTGCAACACTAAAATCCTAAAATTCCAGTTTGGTCCAACAATGTTGCTCCTGGAATAGCTTGTACTATGGATTAACTTTTGTTCTTTTGATATTTTAAAGGTCTTTTTCTAGATATCTGCTCCCTCAAGTTCAGCTGAAAAGCTAATTTTCTATTTAAAAATACTGAAAGAGTAGGTTAACATACCATCTCACCTCCACATCTTTGGTTATTTTTATTAAAATTGAGGAACAGTGACCAAAGAGTTACCATCTGCATGGTTACAGACTATCTAAATATCACAGACCAGTGTTCTGCTACTCAACAACTTGAGAGATGCACTCAATGTCATAGCTTTGACATTAAGAGGGGAACATCTGAGTTGCTTCTGTTGGTGACCTAATTCCACTGCTCAATAAAGTCAGAGGCTAAAATTTATTTATCTTCACATGTAGGCAGAAAATTGGTCTGCGACTTCCACTGCAGCAATGCAAGGTTCTGCTCTTAACTCTGCCTTCTGACTTTCTGAGGTCTTAATAATCTGATTAGTACTCCTAACGTAAGCCTTGTATCTCTTGTTTGGATCCCAAGCCTCCCAAACACTCCCCTTTCCCCAACACTGTAATTAATTACATTACCTCAAACTGCAGCTTTTGGGAAAAAAGGCAGTGGACCAACTGGCTCCAGCTTTGCTCCTCTGAACACTGCCACCCTGTGGATACTGAAATGTTTAAGCTTTCCATATTTTGGTAAACTAACAACAGTGCGACAGGGTCTGCTGTAAAGCAGGTGAAGAGAATTTTTCACTTATAAAAACTCCACCAAAACCCAACACAAATCACCATCACTGAACACGTAAGACAGTACAGGCTGGAGCTTGAACAGCACTGGCTTAAGGTAGTTCTCTAAGTGTATCACACGTATCAGGGGAAGCACCAGAAAGAGGCATTTACTGGTAGTAAATACAGATATTGCCATAGTGTTTTGAGGTTTCTTTTCATTTTGGAAACATAAAAGTTGCTGCAAACATCTGTTCTCCTCATCACCCTAACAAGGAAGGATTCTATCAATAAAGCGATTTTCCACAGCACATCCTTCACGAAGATATTTTTGTGAAGTCAGTACTAAGTGTAATTAACAACACTTAAAAACACCAGTTTAAACATTTTACCTCCTCTAAGGATTCCCTACACTTAAATGAAAACAACCCTAATTTATTCAGTAAATACATTAGACATGCAATTAGGTAAGTTCGTTATTCCTTAATAATTATTACCAAAATAGTTATTTACCTCAAGCCTACATAAGACACCAGACAATACACTGACATTTGGCAGGGGAAAAAAAACCACCCAGAAAAAAAAGACTCAGAAATCTCACTGTAACTTTCTTCAAATGATGTTGTTGAGGTTTTGATGAAAGCTGGAGTGAGGATATATACAAAGACACACCGAATACAACACTGTTGCAAGTTTAATGTTTATTTCCCCAAGACAGCCTAGCCTGCACTCTACTTGGATAAATTTCACAAGCTAGTTTTCCGCTGCTTCTAGTTTTAAACTTTAACCATGTTTCTGATGACAAGGAATGCTGCAAAAATACTCTAGTCCAACAAAGAGTTATGATCACAAAATAATCTTTATCCATTCTACAGTGTTTCAGAATTACCAGTTGATTTTAAAACACAAGGTAGATATAGATGCTAATGGTGGCTAATCTGGTATGTTTTATTATAGCAAACTGTTGTTCATGCAACACTTGTGCTCAAAGGGGAAGGCACAGCATTTCCTACAATGAGCCACCTTATAAAGAGTTCAGTTTGTACAAATTTGTAACGTCACCTTTAATTTAGTGTGCAGAACCTCAAAACTGAGGTATTACTCCAATTATAAAAACACTTGCATCCTTTTTGTGCAAGTTTTAAAAATACAAAGTTTTCTCTCTAAAGTGGCTCAAAATAGATTGTTCATGGCTGCCTACATCTAAGATAAAAAGAGTCTAAAACAATTGGATTAGGCATATTAAAGGTGTTCAAACCATGACTTGATTTGTACATCTATTCACACCTCTTTTTCGGTTTTTATTCGGCAGTACATATGCACCAAATTTCATTTTTAGAAGTTTCCATATCATTTTCATAGAAAACAAAGTTTGAAAACAAGTAACATTGAAACACAGCACGGTATTCTACCACAACGGAAACATTTGGTTACAGGACTCAACAAAATCTAAAAATGAACTATGCTGTAGATTACCACATGCAAAGGTCTTCATGTTATCTTTGAAAATGAAAAAGGATGAGATTTTAATTACCACATCTTACTGCTTTCTACTATTATGGCAACTTGTGTACTGCAACACAGTCTATTTGAAGGGAAATGTATGATTTTTGCATGCAAAAATCTACAAATTAGTTTTGATGATATGGAAAGCTTTTCATAACATCAAACATTCATCTGGTGCAAATGCACAGGTAAGCCTTCCTGAAATTCTGACTTTACAAACAACTAATAAGCCATACAGGAAAGAAATTAAAATAACTAAAAGAAAAATAAGAGGGAAAAAAAAAACCAAAATAAAAAAAAGAAACACAGGCTGCAGGAGTAAACCAGAGTCTGCTGCTAAACCGGTCTTTGTTTTTGTGTCCAGTGTAATTTAACACTTATGAACTCATTTTGATGATTTACTAGGTTTATTATCAGCCCCCTGAAGGCGAATCAAGCTTGCATGCGTTCACATACAGCATCACAACCATACTCTCGTACACACGCCACTCCAGGACTAGGAGCCTGCTTCGGGACTGAAGAGCCCCCGGTTTGAAACACGAGCCTGGCTCCACAGCATCGGGTCCAGACACTCATTCAACGTTGTGCATTCACACGGTGCTTCATAGCAAGGCCTGGGCTCATTCTCCTTGGACTTATATGGGCATCCTATTCTCTTATGCTTACAAGGCTTGATGATGATAGTACTGCATTTTTCCCCCCAATTGCTCTAGTAAGTCATTGTTCCTTCTCAGGCACTGAAGATCTTTGACCTGTAGCCCTTTTTCTTTGAACAATCTAAATAAGCATTCAGTGTGAAGTTTTTCATTACATTTTGCCACTCATTCTCACTCGCACCCACTCGCCATCTTGACTTCATTTGGGCTTTTCTGTGATTCCAAATGAAATCTTCACATTTTCTTTCCCGATTTAATGCAGCAGCGGATCCCATGAGCCAAGATTGATGGATCAAACCTTTTTTTTTTATTCAGTGCTGCATTGTACCTAACTCCCAAAATACCACTCTAAAACTGGAACCCTTCTGCTGGTACATTGGCAGATGAATTGAAACCAAATGTTCCGCCTTGTATTGCTTCTGGAACAAGGCTAGGATCTTCATCAATCTGTAACAGAACGAGAACATCATGAGTAGGAATAGAAAAACAAAAGCCTCACTAAAAAGACGACAGAAAATCCTGAAGAGTATGTGTTTCTTCACCTAAATCTACTTCCTTGCATCAAGTCCTGCCGTTCTTCTCCCCCAATTTAGGAAAAGCATTATAATGACCCAGTCATTTAGGCCAAAATGTTTTAGCTTGCATTTAGGCAAGTGACATGGCACCCAACAGTTTATCTTCTTTACTCAGTTTTCGCTCCTAGAAAGTATTCTGTCAGTCATGCATCATCCTTATTGCCAGCTTATAAACTGTCACAGTTAAAACAGACACTGCAGTTTTTGCTTAATCCTTAGTTGATTTAATGATATTGGTTTTATCTTAAGTAGCATACAGGTTACTGAATTGACACGAGACTAAATTCCAAGTCCTGCTATATGAGCAACTCAAACCTTGCATAACAAGACTTGCGTCTTATTCTTCATATAAAAGTGAAACTCTAGCACAAAATAAACTTCAGTGCAGACTGTAGGGCATGAATGCAACTGAGCTGTACCATTTTTGTAGTAATCTGCTCCTGAAAATTCTTCAGTCAAGTAGAAAACCCTCTCACCTCATGACACAGACCAACATGATTGCATTGCCTTTAAAAGCAATTAACACTCATGATTTAAAGTGCATACAAACCTAAAACCTTCCTTTGATTTACATTACATGTTTAAACTGAAAACAACATTCTTGATGAGCACATCCTACCTCTGAAATCACTAAAATATTCAGAATAGTTTGTTTCTGAAGCAGAATCTGAGATTTGGTACTCAAGTCAGCAGGGAGCTTATCAAATGTGATATATCAAGCCTAGTCAGAAGCTACAGTTAAGAGATCTATTCAAAGCCTCCTATTTTAATCTCTAGAAAGGAGGCTTAAATTAGGCATTGGATCCTTAGATACTTCATCATAAAGAACAGCAACAGGTTCAAATAAGGGCTCATTCTTCACTGAAAGATCAAACAAGTGTCACAGAGCAGGCTTTAGCGCTGTGGCCTTTATCTTGAACCATATTTACAAATAACAATTACAAAAGCAGACTGCAGAGCTGTTACACACTTACATCATCTGAAGAGAAGAACTGATCAATGATCTCATAAGCCAGTTTGTAGATGTCTTCATTTTCATGATTTTGTAGCTGTTCAATTTTCTCCAGGCCTAAAGTACACAAGAAATGCAATAAAGTTAAAATATCCAGTTCAGGCAAAACAACTTCTATCTCTCTCTCCATCATACAAAGTCATTAAAAACAAATCTAGGAATAGAGTGACTATGAATATGATGCTGTTGAACTCATTTGACATGAGCATAAGAGCTTCCTAGAGATTTGAGGAAATATATCACAGATTGAGGAACACATACCAAGACAAAAAAACCTGTATAAAAAGCCAATTCCAGCAATGACAGTACTTCCCTTTGCTTCTTGCTCTGAGTGGTTAAGCTGCTCTATGGAAATACAGCCAGAGCCAAGCACTAGGACATACTCCCTTTTCCTGGTGTGACAGCCCCAAGCTGTGACATCATTTGTCAAGTACACCAAACTTTTGGAAAATTGGCACCTAATAAACTTTATTGCCATTATCCAGCTCCTCCACATTTTACCCGATCACGAACTTAATCAGTGAGGAAAAGCCAAGTACATTCACCTATTAGGAATGAAGTGGTCACTTTTTTAAAAAGGCTTTGCTTAAAACATCTGTGCCAACACAAAATAAAGACAATAGCACAGACACGTGGTAGGAAGCCAAACCAGCAATTTCTGAAAAAACAGTATCAAAATATTAGGCATCCTACCTCCACACTCTTCTATAAGATTGGCTATGGTTTCCGCTTCATCTTCAGCCATTTTTAATATATTACTTAGTCCATCCAGAACCACTTGCACAACTTGCGCATCTTTTACTGTCAGCAAATTGCAAAAGGGAGGAATTACATTTTGTTGAATTAAGTATGCCACCTAAGGGGAAAAAAGCAAATAGTTAAATGAGGAGTGTGGCAGAAGCAAACGATGGCCCACAAGTACACATGCAAACAAGTTTAACAAAGACCAAGTGCTCAAAGCTACCCAACAAGATAAGAGTATTCTGTAGCAGTCACTTTCAGAAATACTTGTTTTAGAGCACAAAAAGGTAACATTTATGAATTATGTTACAAATACATTTCAAGTCTAGAACACACAAGTAGCAGATACTGTGATTTTTTCAGTATTAGATGAGGAGTTTCAACCTCATATTTGAAGAATGACACCACCACCCAACCCTGCCACAAATTTAATATTCTGGACTTACAAGAAACCAGTATATTTCTACTGAATGGCTACCAATGTTATAATTATCACACTCTTAATCATAAGAGATAAAATGTAGAAAGACGGATGTCGAATGACCAAGAATCTCATCAGAGTTTGAATGCAGTCATTCATAGCTACTAGACCATCCTAACAGAAGAGCTTCCATCCAAATCTCCATCAATGCTCCTCATCTCAGGTTACTCAGAAACAACAACAACTCTTAACTCTTAAATGCCTTGTGGAAAAGGAAGAGTTACTGAACAGGGGAGTAATCCAGACATTGATAATCCTGGCACAGAAGAAGTCTAAACCAATCAGCTGATATACTTTCTCGGATGCACCTTTTCTTAAGGTTTGACTCACTTGGTCTTTTCTTCCGCTGATCGTTAAGTTGCTTATTGCCCAAGCAGCTTCTTTCTGAGTACCAAAGTCACCCTAAAATAAAATCATAAATAGAAATAATCATTCCAATTTTTATTTTATGTGGTGTTACAGTAAAAGCTTGTATTTGCTACAGTCCATTCTGCCTTTTATCACCAGATCAGTCTTCAGTAAGTAGGGAAAGTAACTAACAAAGGCTGTAGATGTTTGAATCTACTCG